CTTATGGGTCTCCAATAAATTCAGACAGATACGCGTATTTCGTCTACTAAAGGGTGTATTCGATTAAAATGGAACCGAGAATCTTCTGTAACTTTTGAACCGAGTAAATCTTATTCATAGTGTATTGTTTACATCTGTCAATTTTCATAGTTATTCATGCTGTAGTTCCAGCCATGTCGTCGAAACAAGAAATTGTCCGTGAAAAAATTTTGTGCACTTACAATCAAAATCATAGGTCTATTTTTTATTTAATTTTAGTAAAATGCGATATCAATTTCAATCAACCATTTCCAGATCAGTCATAAACATATCATTGAGGAATATATTCACATGCTTAAAATTATTTTTCCGTGATTAGATATGATCAATTATTAGATATGATCGATTATTTTACACGGTTCACGGTTCACGAGTTGCAAGCTAAAAGAATGACAAAATCTAACCTTAGTGAGAAACACCATCAATATCATCAATTCTGTCAGGCTAACTAGCTCCTGTTATTTTGTAAAATAATCTATTTTCGAAACCATCTTACCACCTACCTCTGGGAGTTCTAGGAAGATTTCGGTGGATATTTTCAGAAGAATTCTAAAGGAATTGGGAGGAAAACTTGTGGTGATTTCTAGGATTTATTCCATGGTACACTCCCGATCATAAGTTTAAGGACACCCTCAAAAAAACATGACGAATTTGTTATGTTCATATCTCTGTCATATTACGTCCAATTTTCGTTCTCTTTAGATCATTTGAAAGGTATTGAATGGAACTTTCCTCGTTGGCAAATTGTTCAATGTAATTTCCAAATTTTGTGTGCTAAAAGCTCACCCAAAGTTATAATATTTTTCAAAATTTACTCTGAAGAATCGTGACAGATTTCCTCAGAATTGGGTTGGCCAAATTTTGAAATAAAAGTAGTAGTAGAACACTTATGCTATACCATTCATACAATTGAAATAACCATTGGAGCGGAAATTGAACGTAAAATGAGAGATCATTGAACAAAACATATTTGCATGGTTTTCTGGGGGTGTCCTTAAATTTATGATCGGTAGTGTAGTTCTGAGTAGAACCCAAAGCGAGTTTTGGGATTAGAATTCCAAGAAAATTTTCAGGAGAATTGGGAGGAAAACTTGAAGGGAAATTTAAGAATAACTCCATGGTAGTCTGAGTAGAACCCAAAGGGAGTTCTGGGACTAGAATTTCCAGGAAATTTTCAGGAGAATTCTTAGAGAATTGGGAGGAAAACTTGAAGTGAATTCTAAGAAAAATTCCATTGTAGTTCTAAGTAGAACCCAAAGGGGGTTCTGGGACACTAATTCCAAGAAAATGTTCAGTAGGATCCTAAAGGAATTGGGAGGAAAGCTTGAAGTGAATACTAAGGATATTCTACTAGTACGATTGGGAACTTAAAGTGAATTCTAAGAAAAATTCCATTGTAGATCTGAGTAAAACCCAAAGGGAGTTCCGGGACTAGAATTCAAAGGAAATTCCCAAGAGAATTCTAAAGGAATTGGGAGAAAAACTTGAAGTGAAGAGAGTACTGGGACTAGAAGTCCCAGGAAATTTTTAGGAGAATTCCCAGGAAATTTTCAGGAGAATTCTTAGATAATTGGGTGGGAAACTTGCAGTTAATTTTAACAATATGTCCATGGTAGTACTGAGTAGAGCCCAAAGAGAGTTCTGCGAAGATTTCGGTGGATATTTTCAGGAGAATTCTAAAGGAATTGGGAGGAAACTTGAAGTGAATTCTACGAATAATTCGATGGTTGTTCTGAGTAGAACTTAAAAGGAAGTTCTGGGACTAGAATTCCATGAAAATGTTCAGGCGAATTGGGAGGAAAACTTGAAGTGAGTTTTAAGAATAACTCCATGGTAGGTTTGAGTAGAACCCAAAGAGAGTTCCGGGACTAGAATTCAAAGGAAATTTCCAGAAGAATTTGAAATGAATTGGAAGGAAATCTTGAAATGAATTCTAAAAATAATTCCATGGCAGTTCTGAGTAGAACTCAAAGGGAGTTCTGAGACTAGAATTCCAAGGATTTTTTTTTGGAGAATTCTAAGGGAATTGGGAGGAAAACTTGCAGTTAATTTAAAAAATAAATCCATTTTAGGTCTAAGTAGAGCCCAACGAGAGTTCTGCGAAGATTTCGGTTGATATTTTCTAGAAAATTCTAAAGGAATTGGGAGGAAAACTTGAAGTGAATTCTATGAATAATTCGATGGTAGTTCTGAGGAGAACCCAAAGCGAGTTCTGGGACTAGAATTTCAAGAAAATTTTCAGAAGAATTGGGTGGGAAACTTAAAGTGAATGCCAAGAATAATTCCATTGTAATTCTGAGTAGAACCCAAAGGGAGTTCTGAAACTAGAATTCCAAGAAAATATTCAGTAGGATGGAATTGGGAGGAAAGCTTGAAGTGAATTCTAAGGATATTCCACTAGGACGATAATTCCAAGAAAATGTCCAGGAAAATTCTAAGGGAATTGGAAAGAAAACTTAAAGTGAATTCTAAGAAAAATTCCATGGTAGATCTGAGTAGAACCCAAAGGGAGTTCCGGAACTTGAATTTAAAGGAAATTTCCAGGAAAATTTTAAATGAATTGGGAGGAAAACTTGAAATGAATTCTAAAAATAATTCCATTGAAGTTCTGAGTAGAACTCAAAGGGAGTTCTGGGTTTAGAATTTCAAGGAAATTTTAGGAGAATTCTAAGGAAAATGGGGAGAAAAACTTGCAGTTAATTTTAAAAATATGTCCATGGTTGTTCTGAGTAGAGCCCAAAGAGAGTTCTGCGAAGATTTCGGTAGATATTTTCAGGAGAATTCTAAAGGAATTGGGAGGAAAACTTGAAGTGAATTCTAAGAATAATTCGATGGTAGTTCTGAGGAGAACCCAAAGCGAGTTCTGGGACTAGAATTTCAAGAAAATTTTCAAGAGAATTGGGAGGAAAACTTTAAGTGAGTTTTAAGAATAACTCCATTGTAGTTCTGAGTAGAACCCAAAGGAAGTTTTGGGACAGAATGCCCAGGAAATTTTACTAGAATTTCCAGGAAATTTTCAAGAGAATTCTTAGAGAATTGGATGGGAAACTTGCAGTGAAGTCTAAGAATAATTCCATTGTAATACTAATTTCCCAGCGAATTCGTAGAAAAGTTTCAAGCAAATTATTAAGAGAATTCTGAGGAAGATAATTCTGTGTAAATTATATTATTATGAATTTGTTTAAAATTACAGAGTAAATTCTAAGAGTTTTTTTTTGAGAGAATATTTATTAAGAATTTTCTGAGATGGATAAATTATTGAGAAATTCTATCTGAAGTCCTGTACCCATCACAGGACTTATCATGATGATTCAGACATAGCGTTTGTTTCAAGACACGGACAAAAATCCAAGAGCCTACAGTTGTGATGAATAATTTTATATCTCAGACTTGAATATTTGATTGGAGATTCAGGGGAATGATTTTTCTAAACTGTTTTCTCTTCCTTTGAAAAATGATCAATTCACTTAAAATTTATCCCTCTATTGTTTTTTAACAATCACTTGGAAATTAGAATTTTGCAAAACAATACGAAAATCATGCAATGCAAGTGTATTCAATCATCCGTTGAAATTTCCAGCGTAATTTGAAAAAAAGAATAACGAGCGAACGAAAAAAGGAGTGGGAGCTGTTCATAAACTACGTAGACAGTTTTTCAGTAGTTTCAGACCCCCCCCCCCTCTGCGTAGACAATGGTCCATACAAATTGTGGAAATTTATATGGATCGTAGACACTAGCCAAACAACCCTTCCTAGAGTGTATACGTGGTGGTCTCAATGTAGCGTTTGGCCCCACATGTATTCATTACCGTAAACCGAGGGCAAATTAATCACTGTTTAACGTAATTATCGATATAAATTTCTACAAAAATGGACATTGACCAACCAATGCAATGGAATTAAAAATCTGTAGCTATGAGGACTCTATCGTTCTAAATTATAACTTATCATAGTGGATGTTTTGTATATTTTTTAGGAAATTTTAGAAACCTCAAATTTAAAAATGTCGACCAACCCTTCAAATAGCTTCCCAGAGTATATACAGTAAATGCGCTTTATGGATATGGGATCCCTGGATCCGAATCAGGACGTAAGAATCCTTGTGCGAAGTGTATTTTAAACGAAAATGTCAAAATGGATTTATTAAAATACACAGTTGCGCCTGGATGTAGGCATATTAATTAAAAATCGTAAGAAACTTGACGAAAATCCTCTACTCGCATTGTATTAGAATCTTATTTTTCATAATATTTTAAATAATTCGCATTCAGTGAAACTTACTTAGGTCAAACAAACCGCCTTTAGGCTAATAGTTATTACAAGGCTATAATCGTTTGTTTGAATGATGAAATTGGAAGCTATTGGACGCCAGTACTTTTTATACTTGTTTTGTTGAGAAAAACTCATCAAATCAATAATTAGAGTCCTTTGATGAAATCCAATAAAGATTTATCTTGATATCTATTACCATAAATTTTATATGCAAAAAATAATGATATTTTACCCGGGTGATCAATTTGCCCCGAATTACGGTACTAATAAGTCATTAGTGCTAAAATATTTCTATGATTGACGATCATTCTCAGCTTCCATGGTAGTGAAAAAATAAGCGATAGCCCTTATTACGGGTGTCGCTTCACGGCGAAAACGATGTGAAGTGACAAGTTATCATTCACGGTTATGTGATTCCCGGGCAAATCAAATGGGAACCACTTCACCTTGAGTGAAAAGCTGTACCTTCACCGTGACACCCGTAATAAGGGCCGATATATCAGCACTGTTACACTCTTACTGTATGTATTAGAACCGTACTAAGCGCATTATAATAAAATGTAACTATTCATATCACGCCTTGTACTTTTCCAGTACCTACAAAGTGAATGCCAATATTCACAGGTATTTTAGTTTTTAAACCAAACTAAACTTAAAGACGTATGTGAATCCACCAATCGGACCGTTGACCTACAATTCCTTAAATCTGTCCAACAAACTTTCCTATTCGTACAAGTGCACATATTCTAACCACTAGGAGGAATAGGTAGCTCTGCTCTAACACCCATTGCTAACGACTACTATCGTATATTGGTATGCGTTTTACCCTGGTATATCTTCTTTTTAGACCACATGACTATACTACTTAATCATATAAGGGACTTCCGAAGCCTGGGAAGATTGAAAAGACTTGATCCTATTCTTCTCATTTTACACCTTCTAAGGAAGTTAAAACATAACATATTCATCTTTGTCCTGTTTGATGCGATTCCTAATGTTGTCCTCTGTTTGACAGAATATTGCCCCTTACTGTTTGACAATTTCAGTCTAACCTTGAACTTTTGTTTGCACTATTTTTTTTAATGTATTCTTTGTTTGTTAAAGTTTTCTCAAACAAAATGTTTGTATCGTTTCAATATAGGTTATGACCCAATTGACTATAGTTAACTAATGAAAAAGAGGTGATCGAAACAGAAACTTTTGGTTCCCTAAGCTCGGACACGTGGTACATCAAGTGGGACTGTTGGCACATTTGTATGATTTCACCCCTCGTTGGAGGCGGTCGTTTCGTAAAGAATGCTGTAAAGACTTTTGCTTGTTCGGAAGAGTTCAGATTGCTGTTCGATACGTAACGTTTGCTAATGCTAAAATCAACTTTCGAGCTCGAATGTACGTATGTTTTGTCCTTGATTGAATTCATATGTGTTTGTGTGCTTTTTTGTAACATGACGTTTGATTTTTGCAGAAGTATAGGCACTTTTAAAAACTATATGTGTAACATCGATTTTGCGAGCTAATGTGTTTTCCTATGTTTTGGATTTCCTCAGGCAGCGCTTAAAGTTCTACTATGTTTCTATACAAGTAGTCTAAAGTTAACAGTGTACTTACATCACCATACAGTCATCACACTCCGCACCGGCGTCATCCTCGCAGTTGCAATCACACAACCCACAATCGGTTCCATCGCCGTCGGTTGTCTCGTACTCACAGCACACGCAGCACGGCTCATCCGTTTGTTCGATTGTCACTTCCGGTGTGGACATCTGCAAATGTAAAGCACACGTCAATCGACATGTTCAAAACTATCGATGCCAAATAGATCGAAACCACCTACCGGTTCGCTTGTTATCACCCCTTCCACGTTGTTTGTTGCGGCGCTGGAGGGCGCTCCTGGGAAGAGCATTTCCGGTGGGAACAGGTAGGTATCGTAAAAATATGCACTATGAGTGTTCTTTATGTGCTGTTTGAGCTTCTCCAGCGACGGCATTGGCATATCACAGAGAGGACATTTGAAATCCATTGTCTAATCGTTACAGCTTCCGTTTTACGGATACGGTATATCTATCGTATCGTTATTATTATTCAAAACTCGAACCCCGTCTTACGTATCTATTAATAGCGTTCCGCACGAGATAACATTACGTACTGCAAAGTTTTCCTGTTTTTTTTTTCTCTTCGCTAGCAGCTTTCCCCGAATCAGCTGTCTGACAGAAGGGCGTAAATCTGTAAAGAGAAAATGCAGTCATTCGTCGTTTCCGGCTTATCCAAACTGCCCAAAAACATGCCACTTACCTCGTGCTCGACTCGAGACGCCGTTTAATGCTGCTTGCGAAGGGTAAATATTTAGAAAAATGTTAACATTTTACGCCTGCAGCTAGGCCTCCGTGCGGGATGTGTGTATGATGTATGGTGAGTGCGAAAAGTGTGTGCCCGATGCTGACAGACCAGACATATTGTCTCGAATGTTGTTTACATGATCGACCACCCACCGCCCGCTTTCGGTTTTGAAAGCGGAGAAGCTTTCTCGGGTATAAGCTTTTTCGAATGTGTTTTGAAGCTTTGCTCATGCGATGTTTTCAGCGATAAGCTTCCAAAGCGCTCAACATACGTAGTGCTATGTGGTTCTACACTCAAAACAGACGAACATTAGGAAAGAGCGAGGGGGGTGACACATCTAAATCTCAATTCTAGATACTCAACAAATCTCACACTAGTGAATCAATCTTCGAAAAATCTTCTTTTATTTCTCGCATCTACTTGCATCGCGCATAATATTTTTGCAGGAAATCTTCAGAATCGTCATCAATCTTCTTTCTATCTATTCAGCGTGTGCGCAGCAAAGCACAGCAAAACACAATTTTCCCTGCATCGTAGATAGAGTCGCCCCCCTCGGGAGAGAGTCAGTTCTCTATACCTCTATAGTCTATATTGCTGTATGTGACCATGACTCTATATCTTAATTTATGTCTAACTCGATGGTCCCGGAAGCAAGTCAAACGTCAAATACATCCAATCTAGGTATGGGTTTCTGAAAACTTCTGGATATTTTTCTTACGAGAAGTATTTCCTAAAACAGACTGTAGCGAACTACTTTCAGAAACAACATTTTCGTACAAAGTATTCACAAGATGATTTACTGTTGGACTGGTTCGTTCATTGAGGTAGCTATCATACATTTTATTAACATATTTGGAAAGTCTCCGATGAGCTCATTACAGAAAATTATATCAGCAATTAGGTGTACAACTTCCATAAATATCTACTATACATTCAAAAAGGGCGCACAATTGTTAGGGTGACACACTTGCCCCACCATAACCTATTCTATAATAGTAGTATAAATATGCAGATTGCTTCAACTTACTTCGCTATAAATATATTTTTTCGGAATTATGAAATCATTAGATGTTATAATTATATGTTGTACCGTGTAGTACGCGCTCTACCTGCAGTCATCGCTCTTTTTTTTTAATTTGCTGAAAAAGTTTACAAATAAGTTTAAACATTCATTTTACCGGCTAATGCACTAATTTTAGATGCCTGCTAGTAATTTGAAACGTTCTACACATTATTATTACTATTATCGAAAAAAATATTGTTTACATCCATATGAGCGGTGAAACTCAATCGAGGGTTCCGTTTACCGGCCAATATAAAAATAAACATAAAATAGTCATTACGAACACATTTTCAAAAGGTCATAACTTTTATTTTTTCCTCTATTCCTTCAAGATAGTGTAAAAATATTCTCTATACACCTATACAAAATATTATGCTAGCGTTGTAAACATAATTTTGCTCTAAAGTGAGCGGTGAACGGGCGCCACACGCATGATGACCAGCAAATTTCGATTTGCATTGTCCCGGTGTTTTCCCGGAGTTTTGGTTCTCAAATTTCCTTCAGAATAAAATCCCTTTTTTTCTTTGATTTGTTTTCGTCGATCTTGTTTTCCGTACTGAAGACCAATGCTACCGACGCCAGGGATGCAGCTCCCACACCTGGACCCTACCTAACGACCCACGAACTCATGAACCGGGGACCAACGGCTTTACTTTCCTTCAGAAGGATCAGATCGTGATCAGAGATTTTATGCCTCAGAAAAACCCGACGGCACTGACTGCGATTGAACCTAGGCCCTTTGGAACGAGAGGGTCACGCTTAGCACTACACCGCCGGCGCCACTAAATATTTTCCGTTCACAGAGTTTCTTTAATATTAATTTGAGATTATCTCTCAGCGTCCATTGACAATTTCTTTACAACATTTCAGAACACTCCAAAAAATTCCTAAGATTTGCTTCGGAAGAATTCACTGATGCTTCCTTCAATAATTTTATTTAAAATTTGCCTGTAGCCTCCATAGATTTCCATGCAATTCACCTACTAACTTACAATTCTGTTCATAATTATCTGGAAGCTCCCCTCTAAATTCTTCTGAAAATTCACTTGGGATTCTCCTTAGAATTCTCTAGAAATTATTCTAGAGAAAAGAGCACCCCGGAATTCCTTTGGAATAGTTTCCTGAAAATTCAATTCATTTTTAACGTTTAGAGATTTTCAATCAAAACCATTAGTCGAAGTTTAACCACAGACAAACAGACATAACACTCACAAGTTGTTCATCGAACAAGCATTTAAGGGTCAATTTGAAAGTATCTCAGTTGGTAGTACTGCCACCTGTGGCGTGCATAGTCAATTCCCTCGCGTTTGACGTTCACACACTACCGCCATCTGTTCAGCGTACTACCCACCACAGTGTACTCAACAGATGGCGGTAATGTTTTAGCGACGATGTTTTACAATGAGAAATATTCAATGTGTTATGTCTGTTTGTCTGTGGTTTAACATTTATTTAAATTTAGTAGGGTAAATGGATGTAAATGTCGGCCTAAATGCCCCTCATTTGGGCACATACATAAATTCAGCAATCGACTAAATTTTCAATAGCGACAAAAAATATCCATTGGTAACGTCCAATGACGCGTTCATCTAGATAAAATTGATAAAAAGCAGATTTTTAGCAATGGGCCCAATCTTAGATCCATAGGCCGACATTAGAGCCATTTCCCCTATATTTATTATTATTATAGTCCATCTGACTTGATAGTCTCAATGAAACACTTAAATCTAAATGTAGTCACTCATTAAAAATTAAAAATTGGCCAACAGCAAACGATGACGAAACATCGAGGCATTGATGTCAAAGTCAAATAGGTCAGAGGCTTCGTTGAATTGATGAATCACGGCGACAAAGGAACTGTTTGCAGCATAGTTGGTTGCATGTACTACTTCATGTAGCAAGGTTCTCGGACGGAGTGTTCGGGCAGGAGCATACAGATTAATTTTGGCCAGTAACTCAGGAACATCATATTCTGCGAGTAAAACTTTAGCAACGAAGACGACCTGCGATATGTTTCGTCGCTTAGCAAGAGTATCCAAACCCAGTAAACGACAGAGGTCAGCATACGGTGGTAAATTCAGCGGGTCACTCCATGGAAGATAGCGCAGTGCGTATCTGATGAATTTGCGTTGAACAGCTTCGAATCGTCCACTCCATACAGCCTGGTAGGGATTCCAGACAACACACGCGAATTCCAGTAGTGAGCGTACCAATGAACAGTAAAGGGCTTTAAAACACAGAGGATCACGAAATTCCTTAGATATCTTGAACATGAATCCAAGCTGTCGATTAGCTTTGTCGATCGTGGTTGAGAAGTGGCGAGTGTATGTGAGCTTTTCATCCAACATGACACCGAGGTCTTTAACGTGATCGACACGTTGAACTGCAGTTCCAGCAACGTTATAATCAAACAAAATGGCAGTCCTAGTTCGACGGAAACTAATTACGCAGCACTTTGAGACGCACAGGACCATAAAATTACGTTCACACCAATCATTAAAGATTTCAAGAAGGTTTTGTAGTTCTAAACACTCGACATAGCCTCGAACGACTAGATAAATCTTCAAGTCATCGGCAAAAAACAATTTACCTCCTCGTAGTAGAATAAACGTTACATCGTTCACAAATAAAGAGAAGAGCATTGGTCCCAAAGTGCTACCCTGTGGAACTCCTGATCTATTCGAGAAACAGTACGATGAGTAGTTTCCAATGCATATAGTAACTTTACGTTGCACGAGGTACGATCTAAGCCAGCTGCAGAAGGAAACAGAACATCCAATTTTTTCAAGCTTTGCTAGCAGAACGTCGTGCACAACTCTATCAAACGCAGCTTTAAGATCAGTGTAGATGGCATCCACTTGAAGTTTCTTGCATACATTTTCCATACAGAACGACGTAAAGCTGACGAGATTAGTTTCCACGGAGCGGCCAGGAAAGAAACCATGTTGACATGTACTTATGTAATGCTTGCAGGAAGCAAACAATCTCTCATTTATCAGCGACTCAAACACCTTAGATTCAACCCCAAGCGAGGTAATCCCACGGTAGTTTTCCACATTGCGTTTGTCTCCTTTCTTGAAAACAGGGAACATAGTAGACCGTTTCCATAGTGCGGGAAATTTCTGTTGACGAAGTGACAGGTTGAAGAGCAAGGACAACAGAGCAGCTAAGATATCGGAGCATTTTTTTAGGACTGCAGATGGAATAACACTCGGACCTGGTGAAAATGATGATTTGGTTTTACTCATCACAGAGAGAACCATTTGTACATCTACGGCAAAAACATCCATGTTTACGACGTCGGTTGGCACATCACGGACGGCTCGCTCAATTTCTGCTTGCGATGGGGAGTCATTCGAGAAGACGCTTAAGAAGTGCCTAGCAAATAGGCTGCATTTGTCCTCAGTTGTCAATGCTACGTCATTGCCGAGAAACATTTTTGACGGCAGTCCAGTTTCCTTCCTCTTAGTATTCACAAACGACCAGAATCCCTTGGGGTGGCATTGCAGATTATGTTGAGTACGAATTACATACTTCTTGTAAAGAAGCTTGTTGTAGTGGCGATAATCATTGCTGGCCATTGAAAAATTTCGCTTGGTAAGGGTACATCGTCGATGAGTGAGAGCACGGAGAGCTCTAGATCGCACTCGTTTCAGGTTGCGGAGAGTAGCGTTAGACCAAGGTGGTTTTTTTGGAGGTTGGCACTTCGGTACTGAAGCACAAACACAGTCGCTCAACAGGCTATTATAGCGAGCGGCTGCTGTTTCGATATCAAGGTCATTCAACACGTTCCAGTTGATCCGGGACAAGGAACGTCTCAGCAAACGGAAATCGGTCTTCCGGAAATTGAGCCGAGTGGCAGTCATGGTTTCATCAAAACGAATTTGAGATCCGTTCGCGATAGATATATCCAAAGCAGGGTGGAAATTGTCAAGAGGAACGATGACATCAGGCGCTTCAACGACGACACAGTCCAGAAGTGCACTTTCGCTAACAAAAACCAAGTCAAGAAAACGAGACTGGAAATTGGGAACAAGGTTTATCTGGCTCAGTCCATGAAAAGCCGTGCCGTCAACAAGCAAGCGGCTGGCAGGAGTAGTTGAAGATGCAATCGGATCTGGAAACGCATAACCCTGGCCTGAGGGTGACCAGCTAAGCCCAGGCTGATTAAAATCACCAAGCAGAAGAAGCACATCCGTTATATCAGCCATGGACGATGCAAATTCTGTAGCATCCAGATGAAGCTGCATTGTGGTGCAGTCATGTCGACGTTCAGGGGGAATATACACCGCTCCAATGAGGATGTCCCGCGAAGTGAGGCTGACCTTAACCCAAACCGCTTCAATTGTAGTAAATAGTTCGTTGGAGATTACGCAGGAGGCGATTTCGTTGGAAACAGCGATGAGCACACCACCACCGCGAGTACGAATGCTGTTGGATGAATTACGGTCTAATCTGTAGACAGTAAAAGAGTCACCAAACAGTTGCACTGAATTGATCCTCCCATCGAGCCAAGTTTCCGTGAATACATAAACGTCATATTCCCCGTCAAGCGCAGCCAGATAAACATCGTCCAATTTAGTCATGAGCCCCCTGGTGTTCTGATAGTAGACACGTAAACCGCTAGAGGGTTCGGTGCGAGCCGTGTCAATGATAACTTGTCCAGGATCCGCACGAGAGAACGGTGAACTATCAGGCAGCGAAAGATCACCTGACGTAGAAAGGCTCGAAGTGGTGGCCATAAGTGAAGATGAACTGAAACGAAGTGGCGGATCAACAGTTGAATTCACATGGACGAGTTCATACTTGCCGTAAACGAGTGGTTGGAAGACCCCTTCACCAGGCCCACACACAGGGCCGGGACGGCTGCAGGTCGCTGGCGGGAATGGCTCGACTGTGGCGGGGGGCTCGGGGGCTTCCATGATGCCAACGGCAGTGCGTCCCAGTAAACAAACAGAAGTTGATTCATCATAATGGTGTAAGTCGTCAATCTTCGGCAGGACTAGATCAGAGGATCTGAATGCTTCTTCCGGTGAATTTTCTGTGGAGCGTCTCGGCTTCTGGTATGGTGGGGCTGGTATACTGTTAATGTTATCTTCAGACCACAATTGTCGAGGAGCAGACATATACAATGGCACTCTGGAAACCAAGAATTTTTCAGACAGAGCAGTTGTTGCTTGCTGATTATACTTGCCTACAGTTGGAGTTTGGAAGACCCCCTCTCCTAACTCAAACGCAGGGCTGGGACGACTGTTGAACGCTGGCAGCATAGGCTCGACTGCGATGATAGGATCAGGGGCTTCCACAAGGCTAGTTGCAAGTGTGCGTCCGAGTGTCGAGTTGAATAAAGCAGGTTGTGCTTTTATCGGAAATAAATTCGCAAATAAATTCAAAATTTCTAATTTTAACACGGGAAAAAAGAGTTCCCATATTCACAACCACAGCCGTAAACCATAGTTCACGGTGTATATTTGAGAAAATTTTGTTCTGGATAGTTGGCCGAGATTTTTTTTTTTCCGGGAAGTCTAAGTCCAAAGTCTGGATGTTCCCCCCCCCCCCCCCCCAGACTGATCATTCTTGTATGAAATTGGTTCCAAACGTAAACAAACCCTGTATACGTTTGGCATCTGTTATGCGAGGTAGGCGACGATTGTTCGTATTTCACAGCCACCTCCCCCCTGCTAGAAAAGAGAAGATGATTAAACGTCAAAAAGGTCAGTAAAACAAAATCTGCCAGGTGGTTGCACCTTTTAAAAACGTACCATAATCATAACAAGATGCACACACTCGAAAATAATTTTGTTTATTTTATGTTAAGTTTCAGGAACCAATTGGTAGAAATCTGTACTAAATCTGTATTAAGTTTAGAATATCTGTATAATGTCTGTAGTCTGCATTGGGCATGTACGAGACTTCAAAAATCTGTATAAATACAGACATATCAAGAAAACAACAAAATTGTTGGCAAGCTGCTTCACGAAGTAACGCCGACGATGATACACGTGTGTTAATGGGAATTTGTTTGTTATGTCTTTTCTCGATTCCGTTCAAGCTATGTCCTCAACCGTGTATATTACAACAAAGCTGGCATCCTTCTACAACTCCGAACAAGCTTTATAACAGAGACGGTTTGTCGTGGTAGTAGTAGCAAGCGTTTTGTCTTCATCGTTGGTTGCTTTATGTGTTTGGATTCGCTGTCCAAGAGTGTTAAAGTGACCATGATAAAAAAAAAGTTTTGGCTCTTGAAAACGATTTTAAATTGGCTCACTACTTGACTAGCCTATTGGTCCCAAGCAAATCGACTAACGTACCCCATTCTAGTATAAATTCCAGTACCACACTATGTTTTTTTTTTCCTTTATTTAACGTCGGTCTCTGTTCCGCAATCCAGTGCCAATCACCGACGGACATCGATTGCCATCCATTGACGGCAACCGAAAGTGCAGGAAGGCAGCTTCCACACCTGCGTAGAATATCGCACCCATTCAAACACACATGGAGCTTCCGTCTGCAGCATCCAATCTCTTCACAAACACCTGGCGTGGAAACTTCGTCAAAAGTCTCTGGGAACCTCCGTTGGCAGCGTCTGAATTTTCGAGGGGAGTTTCGATGGACTTTTCAGATATTCACGGCGGAGAGGGTTCCGAGAGGTTTCGGCGGAGATTTTCGGTACTGCCAAAGGAGGTTCCAGTGAGCTTCGACGGAGTTTTCTCGCGTTTTCGGCGGAGGTGGCTCTGCACGATTCCGGTGGAGATTTTTAATGCTGCCACCGGAAATTTCGACGGATTTTTTTCTGCGGAATAATTTTCTCAAGTCACGAGTGTGGATTTGAGCGAACCGAAGCGAGCCACAAAAAAGGACAAAACCCTTCATGTACACATGCATGTATTGGAGGGAGGTGTCACTTAGAACTACACACAGAAAAAAATGCACTGAGAAAATGCATTTAAATTTTTTGTTATGATAAACACCTCAAGTGATCTGCCCCTAGGTGAATAATCAAGCAGTCAATAATTTACAATTTTATGAGCAGATAGAAGTATCAATTAGAACACGTGGAATTGATAAGAAATATCTGTCGGATCAAATTGCATAATATTGACTGCTTCTATATATACGTTCCATTATTTATTTCAAATTCACGTAAAAAATACGTGAACAGCATTGTAAGCCAGGCGGAATATCACGTTAAAGTTACCAATTTCACAGTAGTTTTCACCCCATTTTCACGTAAGAAGTAAGTGGAAATCAGATCTGATTTACCTGACTAATCACGAAGCTAAATTCCGGTAAAAGAAACATGAGAAATAAGGTGAACAATAACCATACATGTTTTCACGTAAATCGGACGTGAAAGTTTTTCCGAGTGTAGTAAGTACATTTGAATCAGCTGCACGCTATTTCAAAACTACCCCAATTTAGGTAGAATCCACTCAGATCGGTCAAAACTGAACCTACCAAAAAATGGGTAAACTATGTGACAAGTTGATAAATGGACAACATCGACATAAATCCGATAGACTTGTAGCTGTTGTAGTTTTTTCGCTATGGGCTCTTAAGCTGGGTTTAGATAGGGCAAGTCAAATGATCAACTCAGTTGAATTCAATTGGCTTGCAAAGTTGAGCCTGGTTCAACTTTTTTCAATTCAAGTGAGTTGATCAAGTCAATTGAATGGCATGGTTTACACGTTCAATTCGCGTTCAAGTCAGTTGAATTCAACTGACTTGATCAATTGACTTGCCCTATCTAAACCCAGCTTTATGGATTGGTATTTTTTGCGACATTTTCAGATCATCAGAAACTCATCGAGTACACTGTAAAGTGATGGTGTACTTGACAATCGATTCTCATTTTCACTAAAAATGCCAATGGGACTGTTATGCCGCACAGGGCAGTGTAGCCTATAGTGAAAAAAGAATTCCATTCATGTCCTCTAATATTTTAAATTTGCTTGACGCGGATCCAATTTACAATATGCATACAAAACTATTCACTCGCTTTATTTGAGCTTTAAAATAAATACATATGAATAATACCTATGTTAGTTCGAGTTTTCTTGTTAGTCTTATCACTAAAAACAGCTTAAAATTTGAGTAGCTGCTAAAACACTTCTGTAAAAAATACGCGTGTAAAATCTTCCAGCGTAATGCATAACCAAAATTCCTACACACTACTTCTAGGTAGACCAAAGTTGTAGCATATGTTTGCTCTACATAATTACACAGTCACAATCGCAGTCGCAATCCCCGCAGCCACCGGCATCGGTACCACCCGCGTCCGCTCCAATATCTCCTCCGCAGCAGTCACAACAGTCACACTCGCAGCAACCGTCATCGGGCACGGGGGCCGGTTCGATAAAAACGTCCGCTGAAGAAACCTACAATTAAGATAACACAAATTTTAGTGACCGTCAGCTTTGCAGCGCTAATTGAATCCATATTTACCGGTTCGGTAGTGATAACCGTAGCAGGAGTCTCGCTCTCCACGACCGTTGTGGTTCCGCCAGGGAAGATCAAAACCGGCGGCACCAGGTAGGTATCGTAGTAGTACGAGGTATGAATCGCCTTCACGTGTTCTTTGAGGTCATCGTTTGTAGCAAAGTATGTCTCACACAGTGGGCACTTGAAGCTTAGATCCATACTTGTTCGATGGATGGATGGATGGATGGATGGATGAACTCACTTGTCACTTCAAGCGGAAGCAATTTTTCTGTAATCGCCTGTTTCGCAGCAATAACCCTTATCGATAGCGATTAAAAAAAGTACGCTGTCACACACAGGAATAGCACTACATTTTTCAGCGTTGGTATGACGTCATCGTCTCTTCTCAACCGCGAATGAAGTAATCCATCCGACGATTTGGCACCAGATATTTTTGCAGTATCCTAGTACGAGCGACGGGTGTCCAGATGCTCAACATACCAAACACCGGCCAAAAAAACAATCCGCTCAGATCGGCCTAATTCTAGCAACTGAGGGTGAGAGCACTCGCTTCGCGTTGTTGTTTACATTGAATTCAAATGTATATATATTTCCTTTCCCTTCAGTTTGTTTCCCCCTTCTGATGGGTTGGGTGCTCAAGATCGATCATATAAACCGAAGCGAGGTTGAAAGCTTTGGAGGCGCAGTGTATGAAGTGGGATTCTTCGTTATATTTTATCTGGAGGCACACGTTAGGGCAATTGTAGCATCTAATTGTAATTAGTCAGTGAAAGATGCTTAGAATAAGTAATTTGTTCTTACCTAAATACAACTAAATTACAATACCGTTCAATGTATCCAAATCAAAATCATATCTTTAACCGTCAAAATGCACATCGTAAACTTGTTTTTTTAAACATGCACCTTGTGTCTATGGGACTGATATGCGATTGGAGAGTGTAGAGGTAGTGAAAAACTAATGCTAAGGAATGTAAGTTTTTATTCGTTTTGTTATGACAAAATCATCAAAAATCACACTGCTTACCTACATAAAATATATGTACACGGCGAATCAGAACAACCCAAATTTGAGTTCAGTTTACACATAATTGCCAAAGGTTCAGAAGCTCAGCGATGAGTAAATTTGCCTCAAATTTTTCTGTGGAAAACCTCAAAAATCTGCCGGAAAATTAGGAAATTTGACGAAAATTTTACTCAGTCTAACAGTATTACTAAGAGTTACCTCTATGGTATTACCAATGGAATAAGTGAATCCAATCTTTACTTTCTCATATTCGGAAATTTGTTCCAGGACAAAACTGGAAAAACCTGGACAAATATGAGGCAAAAGGTATTTATGAGTAAGCTAAACTCGAATTTGGGTCGTTCTCATTCGCCGTGTAGGTACATCAGTCGACGCATGCAAATTCTCAAAGAGTACAAACTACCCGTATCTGGGACTCAAGGTCCTGTCTTCCTACTTTGCATTCATATTTTTATTTTTTAATTTTTTTTTTAATTTTCAAGATTTCAAGTTTTAATGTAGCGAATGACACTGGAAAACCCAGTGGGCGCGACACATCTTAATCTCAATCCTAGATGCTCAAAAATCTCAAGCTTGCGATGATTCGAAAATTCTACTTCCTTCTTTTTGTAAAAAATCATCAAATCTTTAATAAACCAGTGCCAACATTTCAAAGGGGCGTAATTGCATTTGTAAACAATGGCTTTAGCCGTCGATTTCTCGCGAATGAAAGCTCACTCATGAAAAATAATGACACCAGCAGGTAGAGGAATGTTTCCTCTACCAGCTAGCATTGTTATTTTGAAGAGGTACGATTTCATTCGCGAGAAATTGACGGCTAAAGTCATTGTTTACAAAAGCAATTACGCCCTTTGAAATGTTAGCACTGAAATGTTCTTTCTACTCGGCGTAAGTGCAGCTCAGTACAGCAAACGAAATCTTTCCTGCATCGAAGAATAAGTCACCACCCTCGGAAAAACCTATTGAATAGCAGCAGTGTGTCACAGGAATCACCATCAAGAAGAGCGTCTTCGGCATTTCGCGTCACCAAGCATACCAAACAGGTATTTCGACAGAAACCAAAAACATCGCATTCTTCTGTCTACGTTCGACACTGTGCGTTCGGTGTTATAGAATCGTAGCCATAGTCATATTCATCAGCATCGCCAATTTCTCGGTGATCGACGAAGACGTCGCGGGCATGGCAATAAGGGAATGCAGCATATTGCATGCCGTTAAATTAAACCAATTAGTAATGCAGTGTATAAATATGGAATCTAACAAACCGATGTCAAAAATAATGTCTCGTCCAATCCGTGCGCTAACAAGACGCTGAAGTGCGAAGCGCCTACATATCCGCTTGAGCGTTTGAACTTTAAGAGTTGAAATTAAAGTAGGTATACCGTAAACCGGGGGCATATTGATTACGGTTTAACGTAAACGTAACGTCGATCTACATAATAACGTATCATATTGGTTGGATTTATCTCAAAATTAAAAATATCGATATGGGGTGAAATAGGTCAACCCTTCAAATAGCTTCCAACAGTATTTATAGTAAATGTTTGTATGGGTTCCGTGAATCCGAATCAGACCGAAGAATCCTTGTGCAAAGCATATTTAGGCGAAAATGCCTAAATAGTTGCGCCTAGATGTAGGCAAGGTTTAAAAAATCGACAAAAATTTAACGAAACTCCTCCAATTTAATTACATTGGAAACTTATTTTTCGTAATATTTTGAATAATTCGCATTCAGCTACACATAGATTAAGCAAAAACTACTTTTAATCTAATGACAACAGCCGCTACTGCCCTACGATCGTTTATTTGAACGATATTGGAAGCTTTTGAACGCCAGTAAAATAAAATGTAGGGGGAATGGATGTAATGTCGGCCTAAATGCCCTTAATTTGGGCCCATACATAAATTCAGCAATCAACTAAATTTTCAATAGCGACCAAAAATATCCATTAGTCCCGCCCAATGACGCGTTCATCTAGATAAAATTGATAAATAGCAGATTTTTAGCGATGGGTCCAATCTTAGATCCATAGGTCAACATTAGAGCCATTTCCCCTAGATAAAAAAAAATCATTAGATTTGAAATACAATGAAATACAATAAAAATTTAGCTTGATATGTATTACCGAAAATTTTATACGGAAAAGCTGAAAATGCAAGGCTTTTTGATCAATTTGCCGGCGGATTACGGTACCTATAGCATACTCTATACTACCAGATTCGCGGTCACACACGAGATTGGGTCACATGAAATAGAACTGAAAGCTACAATAACAAGCTAAGGTCAACCACTTGGCTCAGGATAGAGTCACGTACTTGGGTGTCTTATGTACGTATAGGTTAAGTTGTTAAGTGGCTACTGCTGAGCGCCGCAAAATAAATCAATTGGAAAGCGAGATCAACGAAAATGATTGAGTCGAACACGTGCAGCTCGCTATCGAAAATGTGCGACAATATTTAGCTGTATATATTTTAATACGCCAAGTATATAGCCTCTATTTCTGCCTCGTAGAATGATAAGTAATAATGTTATATTGTTGGTAAATACTTCTATTCTAGTTGATATAATCACATAACAATTTGAAAACAAAATTTAACTAACCAATTGACTTTTGAAATTTAGTTCACTGATGGCATAACCAAACTTCGAAATATCATAACCGTGATAATAATCATGAATGCAAGGAAAAATTCAGAAAATTAACACCTCCTTGCTCCTATAACTTCTGGCCAAAATAAATATTAACTTCTATCTTCTAGCCGTTGTTCGTAAACAACTTTTCACCAGTACAAACACTTATACCCCTAACAGCTCCTAATTAGTTAAGAGACCCGTGTTCATCATATTAAGCTTGGCAAAGGTCAAGCAACGGAATTCACAAAAGTTTGCAGAGGAATCCATATTTTCCCAGACCGTCGTCGACGCCCTGTAAGTGAAACAGAGAGATCATAGCATCAGTTTCAATCGTATAGCTAGGCAACATTTTTTGTAGGACGCAAGCACAATACAATGGGACAACAGAACATATTTTTATTCGAACTCCCATTTACGCCTTCTGCTTCTGCAGTGCAGTCGCAATATCTCAACCGAGTTGCCCATCATCATCTCTCTGCCCAATACCGCCCGGAGAACGCGACAGGATATGCTGATAAGCTGAAAAGTAAGTCCATGTTAGATGCAATCCAAACTGGAGTTAAATTTGCTAATAACATAGCCAACTTCTCATGACTCGCCCCTGATAATGATGTCTTCTGTTTCACTATCCCAGCCAGAGTCGCTGCTAGTCTCAAATTACGACTCCACCATGCTACTATACCGATTTTTAGTGGTTTGTTTGAACTTGCTACTTTCTTGTGCTATATCCTGCCATCCTTCAATGGGAATTTCGCTCCTCTCCACGTCCTGTCGAATACAGGTTTTGCCAGGTATATGCCGGTCTTCCAATTTTCTTGGGTTCTGGTACTCTGTACTTGAGTGCCGTTTTTAAAATTCCGCCTGGATCGCTGCTAAGGATGTGCCCGTAGTAGTTGAGCCTTGATATTCTTATCTTTTTGTTTATCGTATATCCCACCCATCCACTCGGGGGCAATGTGGCCACTACTACTACTCTCTCGTGGACCCCCTCTTCGTGATGATTGTTTCAGAACGTGAGTGGATCATGGTCTTCCAATTTTCTTCTTCTCCGAGATCCCATATCCCAAAGGGCTTTCTTGATAATCTGTTATGATGGTTTTGTTTTTACGAAAATAAAATGATGGTATATCCCTCTAGCATGGTTATATATTGTTCTTGATTTGTTTTCCGTCGATCTTGTTGTCTGTGCTGAGCACCAATGCTACCGACGCCAGGGAGGCAGCTTCCACACCTGGACCCTACCTATCGACCCATCAACTCATGAACCGGGGACCAACGGCTTTACTTCCCTTCCGAAGGAAGGCGTGATCAGAGATGTTATGCCTCAGAACATCCCGGCGGCGCCGACTGGGATTGAACCCAGGCCTGCTGAAGTGAGAGGTAATCACGCTTACCACTACACTACCGACACAGCTATACTTTTCACGTTGACCACTAAATGGGAATATTTTTTGGCTACATGACATTAACGAAAATGTTACGTGAAAAGTAGTATGGACGAAAGCTACCTATGTTTTCACATAGATCGAACGTGCATATTTTTTAGAGTGTACAGCTTGGGATGACAGGCGAGACAGGCCCAACAAGCCGCCCTGGAAAAAAACATAAAGTTGCAAATACTGACGAAAGAAATATGGATCGGAACAATCGGTACAGACCTATGCGACTAAATAAGGACTACGATTGGAAACTCGGAACATGGAACTGCAAATCGCTCGGTTTCCCGGGCTGCGATAGGTTAATCTATGACGAACTTCAACCACGCAACTTCGAAGTCGTTACACTGCAGAAACTTTGCTGGACGGGACAAAACCCAAGCAGCACACTTCGATCGAAATAAGCTGCTGCAACTTGATTGTGACTGGAATAAGTGGCACACAAGTAACCACAATTGTTCAGTGACATGTGTGCTGCTAGGGAAGGTATGGAAAAGCGTGCATCGAGCGACTACTTTCTACCAGAGCTGTA